AACTTGGGGGCAGCAATTTGCCCTTTAGGTCCTCACCTCTTTGGGGAGTCCTGGGAGAGTTGTTGAATTTTTTTTAGTCCATTTTGTTTTTATTTATTATGACTTCTAAACTCACATGTGAAACACAGCAGAATCAATTTTCAGTTGAAATTCTCCAGTTAATTTAACAGCTCCAAATTTTCCCTAGGCTAAAGAGAATGCATTTATGTTGTTGTTGCTATTGATAATACAGTTGTTTTATTTGTAGTTTTGTTGTTTTTCTTGAGTCTATATCACACACAAATTGTATGGAATTAAAGGAGTAAGTCTTTAGGTGTAACACTTAATTGCATGGAAACTCACAAAAGAATTTTCAACCAGATGTGGGACACTGGAACACTCAGATAAATCATCTTTTAAAAAATTTTTAAATTAAAAAAAAAACACAGGAATCTAACTTAAAAGAATAGAAATAAATATTACAGTTAGAGTTTATGAAAATGTTGAAAAAAATTTTTCAAACTAAATTGTTTACAACTGATACGAATTTTCAGGTTGAACAGTTGTGAAATCAAGGGCCAAATAAGTCAAGTACTATTTTAAAATTCATATTGTCCTTGGTGAATTTCACTAGATCATGCTCTGTTTCAAGTACTGAAGTTCAGGGAAGTTTCAGAGATAGCTGGAAGCAGTCTAAAGAATCCACATGTGCCAAGGTCTAAACATCCTTGAGTTAACTCAGTAAATTAGGGATGGATTCAGAGGAATGGTTTTGTATTTCACACCAGGAGACCCTAATCTTTCAGAAGAGCCCTCCAATCATCCTTGTTTTCCTGTGTCATTTCTGGAAACTTCTATCAGGAGACCAACCCTGCTGTGCTAAGTAAAATGAAAGGAGTCTCACTGAAATGTTTGTGCTCATAATTTCTGAATCCAGGCAGAATGCTGCTCTACCTAACTAGGTCCAGATTTTCTGTGTGCTGGAATTAGAGCCTTGAAATAGCAGTGACATGGGCTGGTGAAAGTGCCACAATTAATTAATTTCCACTCATTCAACAAATATTGCCTGAGTGTGTACTAGTATACCAGATATGGTACTAAGTGCCAAAGAAAAGAATTTTTTTATATCCCCCCCCCAACCCCGACCCACCAACTTGAGAAAGTTTTTACAAATTACAAGTGCTTGAGGGATGAGTTAATCTCAGTCCATCCCTATCTGGAGAAATTGACATTTAAAATAAAGTTTAAAATTGTGGAGGGGCCATCCTAGCACCTTTTGGGGGCAGACCCTGATTCCCTTGCCCCACACCACCAGCCCTTGGTTTGTAACCACCAAAGATTTCAGAGTGAGGGATGAATGTTGGCTTTGAAAGCTGAAGACCATCCGGGGTAGAGTTGAGCCCCACAAGGGATATGGTCAGGAAATTGTCTTAAAGAATAGTCATTTCTCAACCATTTGCTGTCTTTATTGCACTGGTGAAAGACAATATTCTTCCCTCAGGAAAATTCAATCTACAGACACACACCCCTACAAATGATTTCAGAAGGTTCACATGTTAGAAATCTCTAGTATTTGGCACCTGAGAGCAAAGACTCACCTACAACAGCCTCAAATGGCAATGCCCAATATCTATGCCACAATGTACCCAGTATGCTGCCTTTGCCAATTTGGCCCTGCAACTCTGCACAAAAAGCCTCGGTCAGGGCTCAGGACTCAAAGTGCTGAGCTGGGAAGCTAGGGACGTGGGTCTCAATGGCAGCTGTGTGCTTCCAGGCTACAGGACAACTGAACCCGGAATTCACCATCCTGAGCCCTGCCCCTTGCTTCACTTGCCTTTCCCTGCTCTTTATCTGATGCACATCTGTGTCCTACCTAGCAGTTCTTTCATTTCTGGTTCCCTGCTGCCTTGCCAGTCTGCCCTGCGGAGAGCAAGTTGCACACACCCAGTTCCCTAGCCTCAAGCTTTTATTCCCTGTGGCAGTGGCGCCAACAAGTTACTAAGGAAGAAGGTTAAGTAAAGGCATCTTGGAAGTTAGGTGTCCCTGTTTCAACAGTCTGGAAAGGGAAGCAATGCGAGGCAGATGAGTCCTAGGGCATGCTGAGGCTTCTGGAGACTGAGGACTGGGGTGAGGATGGGTGGGTCGGGTCACTTATGGCGCACGCGGGGCTAGTTTCTTTCCGCCTGGGTGAACCACCTAGCTGGGATCCATGACTGATTCCCACAGCCCCCTGATACTTCTGCTGTGCTCGCCGCACTGGGACTCGCCGTACAAGGTGCTGCGGCTCGCGTGCTGCACGCTCAGACTCAGAGATCTTGGGGATAGTGAGAAGCTGCTTTCTCTGCATTCGACCCGCTGAGGTCCCAAGTCAGGACACGGGACCTTCCAGGCAGGCTCAGAGCAGAAACCTTAGGCTGAAGAGTCCTGAAACTAGCTGTGCAGGGTGTGAGAGGGTCGAAGTGCTGCATAATCGGGTGTTATGGAGCACGTTTATTCTTGAGAGTGAGGACAGGTATGATGCGAACAGGTCACCGTCATGCCGGTTTGTGGATATGACCACATGAGAAGCACCGAAGCACACTTTTGGGGTGCGATTTGTCATGAACCCGTTCGGATGTCCTTGCGTGCCAGTATGGTTTTGCGGGTGCTTGTGCTCTGGGGAGTGGGCAATAACAAGTTTGTGTGGAAGAGTATGACTGGAAGTGACTGAGTTTTCGTCTCTGTAGGGACTTTCGATCTCCGTCAAGCCTGCCCTGCTCTCTAGTGGAGAACTGTAGTGCGGTAGATGAAGGTACAGGTCCAGAATTGAACGCCGTTGGGACACCTTGGCAAACAGCTACCGGAAGCAGTGACAGTTGGGCATATAGCTCCAGCAGGCAGATGTGTAAAAGGCGATGGATGGCAGAATAGAAAAGGAGAGGGCTAGGGGCTGCTTGGAGTCTGGGTAAGCATCTATGCTTTGCTCCTTCCCTATGTGACTTAGCGGATCGTTGATTCTTTCTACCCACATGACAGACCACCCAGCTCGCGTCCAGGCAGCCACACAAGATGGAGAATCCTATAGTATGGATCGCGATCTTAAGGAATTCCTACGTGGTCCAGGAAGTTCTTCCACATCCCGATCTGCCTGGGGGCGAAGGGGCGGGGGCGGGTAGCACATGACTACTAATCATGTCATTCCTTCAAGATGGGAATATGGTTCACATTTCAAAGATGAGTACAGTGGACCCTTGAACAACATGGCGATTAGCGATGCCGACCTCCTGTGTGGTCAAAACTCCATGTATAACTACAGTCGGCCCTACGCGTACTCAGATTCCCAACCTTGGAGTCGCCCCTCGAACAACACGGGTTTGAACTGCGCGCATGCATGAACTGCGCAGGTCAGTTGAACCGCGATCAATTATACCGAACAGTACAACTGAACTTCGCGGGATCAATTGAAAAAACTCCAAGTAGAATTGGACCTGCGTATTTCAAACCCATGTTCAGGGTCACCTTTATATTGAGACACTGAGAAGTTATTTGTTCATAATCCTACCGCCTGGAATTGGTACAGATGGAATCAAGATCAATTTGACAAAGTTCTTGCTCCCAGCTCCATCTCTTGCTTCCCATAACCAGCCTTGCTCCTCTGTGGGTGATTCCAGCTGCCTGAAATAGACACCCTACTTGGGCACAGAATCAACATTGCTTGCTACACATTAATCTTCCAAGCCTCACTTGCATGGGGGTCTAGAGTCAGACTTGGGGGAGTCAAAAGTCCCTGCAATCCTGGATCCTTCCCTACAAAGACCACAGGGCTGGCTGGGGATGGAGTGGGGCACATGTTTAAAACCTTCAAAATGGAATGAAACTGAACAGGTGAAATTTACTTTAAGTCAAACTGTCCTCAAAATCCCGCTCACTTCGTGGGTGTTCCTCTTGGTCCCCACCGCTCCCCCCGCCCCGTTCCATTAATGACCTCAATGCAAATACAAGTGGGATCATCTTTCTGGATCCTGCAGGTTCTGGACGCAAGTGGTGACACAATCCATCCGAGGCACCGGATCTTTCTCCTCATTGGTTGCCTGGAGCTCCTGGACCACCCTAGACCCACAGCAGCGGGAATAAAAAGAGCTGCTGGTGCTGGGAGGAATCGCGGCCACTTCCACCGTGCTCTTGCCTGACAGGAACACTGCCACTGCTGCCACTGCCTCAGCTCCAAGCCACCTGCTACCTGCTGCCAGGTAAGCCCCAAGACTCCTGCTTAGCTGTGTGATTCTACTTATCTCTCCCTCTCCTTGCCGCCCTCTCTCTCTCTCTCTCCATTACTCTCTCAGTTGATCTCCCTGACAGTCTTAGTGTCTCTGTCCACTTTTGCCTGGGTCTCTTCACTCACTGTCTCTGTCAGTCCGCGATTTTTCCCGGACTGATTCTTGCTATTCTAGGTAACCCTGAACAGTCTCAGTTCGGGGACACCCTGGTCGCCTCTTCCTGTGCAGAGCTGGGCTTCACTCTCGCTGTCTCTTGCTGCTTAGACCTACGATTTCTGACGCTGGAGATCCCTAGGCATTGTGCACGGAACAGGATGCAGGAGTAGCTTTCTGCAGACTGTGTGCTCACGGATTTGGTGTCTTGCCTAGTGGTCTCCCAGAAATGGGTTCGGAACCTGCTCCAACGTAAATGGGTAGCAAATAAGCTCAACGACCCAGGGCAGGCAGCCTTAAACACAAACTGGGAGGTTTTTTTCCCCGGTTTAAGTCCTGGGTCTCAATTTAAGACTGCTGAGCTTGATTCTACAGGGGTCTCTTTGATAAATAATGGAGCTGAATTTGGTTCTTCAGTTTCTCATCGATTTCAACCACAGAGAAATT